ATATTCTCCATTCACAATGTCTTACTTTTCATCAGGTGTGTCAGATATACTGGTTATTAATTTTTCAAACATAATTAATACAAATGAATCATGTTAATAAAAGTATAAATAAAGCATTAAGTACTATTGTATCAATTTTATGATACTTTCCAAAGTGTAAGTTCAGTATTGATTTTTTTTTAGAAGGTTAAGTTTTGGTTTTGATTTTTTGCAGTAGTGTATTCCATTTTTGTTTTAGTTTGGAAAATAAAAATCCACATTCAAACTCTGCTCCCACAATTAAAAAAAAACATTTTTACTGTTAGATGAGTTAGTAATCTGCAGTTAGATTCATAGTCTAAGACTGATGGAAACTTAATAATTCAAGATCTAACAAGGACCTAAGAATTATTAAGGTAGTATCTAAGAATATAGGTGTTGTTATTATTATTTGCTTTACATTATTTTACAAATATATACCTATATCCAGACTTCAGAGTCTGAAATTCACCAAGCTGAATGTCTTCCGTGGCCCAATAGGAATCATTTCAGATGAGTAAGTTAGTTTAAAATCTATTATTATTTAACCAGTTGTACTTTAAAATATTTGTGGACCTACAGTAAATGTTCTAGGGATGCACAATGTATTCTTATTTACTTTTGCCATGCTATGCAATAATTCTGTCACAAAATTCTGCATTTTGCTTTACAAATGCTTACTAATTCTTTATTTAAAAACATTTAAATGAGGTATATTATGATTTCTAATCTTAGCGTTTTACTTTCCCTATCAGGAAGATTTGAACTGGAGATACCCACTTTCCTAATAAGATTATGTCTGCACTACTTTCAAAAGAAGTACCTTCTACTGATGGTTTTGGAAAAAATCCAAGTGTAATTGGATAGGTTAGGTCAGATCCTAACTATATTAAACCCATGACATATAATTAATTTTCTCACTATAGACAATATAATAACCATAAAATCCAAAATGGGATACATATAATAACACTCCCCACCCCACCCCCACCAAAGCTCTCCTGGCCATAGAGAACTGGAAAAACTTTGGATGTAATAGCTGTTCCAGCAGAAAATCAATACACATCAAAATATCCACTTAATGGATAAACAGGTATCATTGTCAAATTTGAGTAGTTCTAACATTTGGGTTAAGAATATATCAATCTATACTTTGTTTATTTACAGGTACCAGCCTTAAATAAACATAAAAATACAAAATACAGGTAATCCCCGAGTTACGAACATTCCCTTAGCGAATATTTGAAGTTATGCGATAAGCACCCCCTAGTGTTTACAAAAAAGTGCTGAAATCATGAATGTTGCCACACCATGGCAGTCATTTACCCTTTTGAACAATCTCAGAGACACTGCAAAATTAATTCTGGCTATTCACCCCCCCCTCCTGCCCCGGGTCTCCCTAGGCACTAGGCCTATGGATACTCATATTGTGAAGATCTAGAGAGTCTTCGCTTTCTTGGTTGTTTCGCTGCCTCAGGCCTTTGGTGCATTTGCAGAGAATGGAGGCCTAAAGTACTGCAAGATCACACGAGGTCAGTGGCACGAGATCTCATGCTACTGATCTCATGTGATCTCACAGTACTTTGGCCTCTGTTCTCTGCAAACGGAGGCCTGGACGCCTTCAGTTAGTTTGCAAAGCCTTTTTTGCCATCTTTGCAAAAAGCCTGTGCCACCGAGAAAGAGTCCCAAGTCCCATGTTTCACTGGCAGAGACCTTTAGGAAAGGCCTCTGCCACCCAGAACAGAGCTCTGGAGCCACGTGGCCATCACCCTGACCTCAATTCTAGACAGCAGAGACCTGGAGGCCTCCGATGCCCGGAACGGATCTTCAGAGCCACATGGCCACTGCCTTTAACCTCCATTCTGGATGTTGGAGCCTCTGCCATCCAGAACGGAGATTGGGGGCAGCAGCCGCATGGCTCTGGAGGTCCGTTTGGGGTGTTGGAGCCTCTTCCAAGCCTCTGCCACCCAAAATGAAGGTCGGGGGCGGCAGCCATGTGGCTCCAGAGGTCCATTCTGTGTGGTTGAGGCCTCCTCTAGTATAAACACTTTTCGGCTATAGGCTGAAAGCTTCTGGGGGCCATGATCTCTTGCTCAGGCACCCATCCACTTTTCCAGAAAATGAGTGTTTGACTTCCCATGAGATCAAGGCATCCAGAAGCTTCCAGGCTCTACGTGAAACACGATTTTGTTGCTCCAAACCTCCCATTGGTGTGCAAACACTTTCCCACACCGAGTCTGGGAGCCTTGGAGGAGACTCAGAAGTGGCCAGCAGCCCAGTGAGTCAGAGAAGCCAAGCAGGGCATGCTTGTCCTACTCTCCCTCTGCTCTCATGGGGAGCAGACAAAGAAACAGGCTGGAGAGGAGACAGGTCTTCAAAATGCAAGTGACCCGGCATGGCAGGATGGCGGGGAGAGCTGGGGACCCCAGCTAAGGGAGAATGAGGTATTTTAGTGGGTCAGGGGAGGCCTTGGTGGTCTGAAGCAGGTGGCCCATTCCATCACTAGCCCCTCCATGGTCTTCCCCAGCCTGAGATACCTCATGTTCACTTAACAAACTGTGCATTTGCGCACACATTAAATTAGCAAATGTGTGGGCGATAGTAAGGAGTGATCACATTCAAGGCATGAGATTCATTCCTACGAATCCTTGAGTTATGAATGGAATGGGCAGGCTCCATTCCATTCGTAGCTCAAGGACTACCTGTAATCCATTACTGTGCAATGTGAAACAAAATTGTAATTATCTACAGTACATATCATCTACAGTTTCTTATCACATCATGCCCAGTAATATACAACAACTTATCTCCCTGTATTTATCTTTACTTTATTTTCCAAACATTAATGAGCCAGTGTATTGCCATTTTAAAACAATTTTCTTAACATTAATGGCTACAGAACACAGAATGTTTTAAAGGACAGAAGATTCCATAGGCCTTCTCTAATGTCTTATTTATTTATTTATTTTGATTTGTGCTTATGTTTTTTCTTCCTGCTCTTGTAATAATACTCTGCATTAAACCATATAAGTTCAATAACAATTTATTTTTAATGGTAAACAAATTTTTGGAATCTCTTCAGTTATGCCTAAAACCATATAGTTAATCTTTGCTTAATAATTTTATGTGAGATTGCTATTATTAATAGGGAATTCTGCATTTTTATATATGTTCTTCTATTAAGATAGAAATGCCACTGAACAAAGCTTTATGTTTATCCATTCCCTTAAAGCAGACATGTCAAACACAAGGCCTGCGGGCCGGATGCGGCCTGTGAAGTGGTTTCATGTGGCCCACAAAGCCATCCTGGAAACAGTGAGGGAACAGCCCCCGCTGCCTTGGCCCTAGCCCAGGCCTGCCGGGAGCCAATGTATAATTTTGTGGTGGCCATCTATGCTGAAACGCATTCAGTCTTAGCTCCACAAGGCCATCTGGAAACAGCGAGGAACCAGCCCCTGCCATGTCGGCCCTGCCCTCTGGGTGCATGCTGGGGAGGTGTCACCCTTTGTGAGGAATGAAGAAATGCACCATCACCTGGAAGTGGCCAGTAAATAGCCCTTGTCTACTTCACATATGCAGCTTGATGGGCTCTGGGGGAGGGGTTTCAGCAGGCAGCGGGGCGCTCTCTTCACAGTGCCAAGAACTGAGCCAAGTGGCGTGAATCTGATGAGAAGTGCAATGCTGCCTAACCCCCAGCCTGCCCAGTTTCAGCAGGCAGCAAGGTGCAAAGCTGGCGAGCTTCGCACCGCTCGGCTCAACCTCTCAGCGCTGTGAGTAGAGGGCCCCACTGCCTGCTGAAACCGGGCAGGCTGGGGGCTGGGCGGCATTGTGCAGGTAACATTGACTCTCACGCTGCTCATGGCATCCCCTCCCCCAGAGCCCACCAAGCCAGATATGTGAAGTAGGTGAGGGCCATGTGCTGGCCACTTCCAGGTGATGGTGCATTTCTTCATTCCTCACAAAGGCTGACACCTCCCCAGCTGCGTTTCTTGCCTGTTTTTCTCCCTCCCTCATCTCAAATATTTTCCCATCACTCTGTACTTAGGAAGGAAGGAAAGAAGGAAAGAAGGAGAGGGAGGGTCTGAGGGAAGTCCTGCCTTAGTCCTGCCCTGCTGCCCTTTTATCATCCCCTTGCCCCCTCCTCCTGGCCTATCCTGGGAGTCTCCCATCCTATTGCTAAAAAAGCTTTGGATACAAAGCCAGGTCTCCTCCCATGGAGAGGGAATGGGCCTCCCTCTGACTATGCCCTCATACCCATCATGAGCAACCTGGCTAAGGAGAGCAAGCACAGCAGCAGCAGCCTTGAGGAGGAGTAAATGAAGCTGGGCACCCCCTTGGGGATGTGGGGCTGGACTTGGTGCTGTGGGTGCTCAAGAGCCAGGCTGGGCGTTTGACCTCTGCTGCACAGGGCTCCGGGCAGCCCGCACCACCATCCAGCCCCCCGGCATGGCCTAAGAGGAACAGTGAGGCTCCTCCAGTGGACCATGCCTTGGCACTTGCCCTGGTCCCACCCCCTTCTGCCAGAGACCCTCAGATCTGTCCCACTCCTGCCCAGGCTCCCACAGGCACCCTTGACGTGAACGATGTAGAGCTGGCCACGCCCACCCAGTAGGCTGCACCCCCCCTGGCCACCCCCCCACCCCAAGGGAAACCGCAATGCCGATGAGGCCCTCAATAAAATTGATTTTGACACCCCTGCCTTAAAGTGACGTACTGTAAAAATGCTCATGTAAATTAAACACTGATACAAATTAGATGCCACAAAATGTGCTTAAAAGGTTGAAAAAACATATCCATTTGACCCTTGGAAAACTACACATAAAGCTTCATTTTCTACATGATGCAATATTAATGTAACACAACCTTGTTTTTCTCCTATTAATCAAGTCTTTAAAATTGACAGAAACTTGTACAATAAAAATACAATGGCATAAATGCAAAGATAAACAAATAAGGAATGGAAAATAAATGTTTCTACATACTTGTAGGCCCATCTGAAATACTGAGTGACCCATAAAATTAGCCAGCATTCGAATTAAAGCTGCACCCTGCAAACACAATTAAAAAAAATGAGTTGTTATCCAAGTAGTTTCATGGTAATACATGAAATTTACAATTATTCCAGTATTTATTTCAGAATAATTATAGGTTTATTATTCATTACATTTAGAATTATCCCTCAAAAGTATTTGACTTAAACATTTTAGAAGCTATATGCTTCATTATAAGCTTTGTTGGGGGAAAAAACAGAAACAAAAATGAAGTTATGAACATACAGAAATGGGGTTATTTTCAAACAGAGGTACTAAACTTATACCTTACTGATTTGAGTGCAACAACATGAAACAGTATGTTATAAAAGCACAATATTTCTCTTCCCTACTATTGACTGTTCATAAGCATATCTTTGAATGAAATAATTTAAGTATAACATGTTGAGATTTAATGCATAAGAAAGGCAACTAGTTCTACAAGAGTAATCAGTACAAATGAAATACTATTGTTCAGATTTAAAACACCGTAAGTCCAGGATTTTTTTATGGTTGAACAACAAGCATCCAGAAATTTAATTTTAGACATACAAATATATGTTTGGACAAAACATATGTCCTCTTTTAGTGCATCTCATGATTGCCAGTAATTCTAATTTAACAGGAAACGTACGTACTCACAGCTTAGTTGGAGTTATGGTTAAAGATATGGATGAATATCTTTTGTTCTGGATAGAATGAAGTTTCAAATGGGTGAAGCAATCTAAATCTATTTTAGAGCTTATATTACAGTTTTCATGTTTTTGCACTAATAATGTTTTACCATGTTGATAAATACTGCATTTGGCATTTACTCTCCATATTTAATATATATCTATAAACATCAATATATATCCAAGGCTGTAATTCTAAGATCAGTATTTGAATGGGAAAATAGTAAGAATTTTAATGAAACTTCAGAATTTATCAATGCAATTTAGAGTAGGTATAGGTAACCAGGAATAATCAAAATGTTTTGGATTATTGTGCCTATAATTATATAATTTTATTCTAGAGGACATTTGCTAGCCTCCATGCTGCCATTTTAAATGGCTTGTTTATGCATGTTTCTTGAAGCCCAATGGCTCTCTGATGATTAGGCTAGACCTTAAGACTGACTTTTTGAAATGAATTGTTAAAAATAACATGCAATAGAAATTTGTGATTTATGGGCCCTTCCAGTGAAGATGATGGCATATAGAAGATTCTTGGTCAGAATGAGAGAGATGCAAATAATAAAGAATATGAAGTAATGAATGAAATGACTAGGTGTGTGTAAAAATATGAGGGAGGGAGGATATATCAGGTCTGAAGAAGACTGGTCTAATCTTGTGAATTAATGTTGATTAACACATACAGAGAATTGAATATTTAGGCTTAATTATTTAATTAAAGAGCTCAAGTACAGTATGTATCAAAAATTAGTGTCACCTAATTTATTAGGAGCTCATTTGACAGTAGGAAATCATAGTGTGTGATGGTGCCACAAATTTAATGGAAAGTATGCAAGAGTTTATAAAAACCAAAATCTGAGAAATGCAATGTGGTATTATGCTGGGGACAAAATATGCAGGCCCTTTCTCCTTAGTTATGAGAAATGTTTCAGCCATGTTTCCTTTTCTTTTTTCTTGCCCTTTAATTTCTTTATCTTACTATTTCCTACTCCTCTTCTGCAGTCTATATTTCAATGCTTTACTCCCAAAGGGAATAGCATGATGAATGCATTATATATCCAACATGTTGAAATTCTGAATATTTTTTTCCATATCAAACCCACTAATTTGATAAACTTAATATCCTATAAATATCCTATGAGTTTTATTACATTAAAATAATATCTGCCCTATTTCATGTCACAAAGCATTCTCCAAGTCTGGAAGATGGGTTAAATTTGTAATTACTAATACTCTCTTCCATAAAGTTTAGTGAAGTCACAATAGATACTAAGGCTACCATTCCATGGATCACAGGATAACACAGCCTGGAGCTGCTGAGTCATAGGTATATGTATAGTATAGTTTTCTCTTTCTTACTCTAGTCATAGCATTCTCTTACTATTTATATTTTTCAACCTAGAGCAACACCAAAGCAATATGTGACTATTCTTTCTTTTCTACTAAAATTGTATAAATAAAATGTTAAGTAAAATTGTATAATTTTATAGTTTGGAATAAAAAATAATTTAATTTTTGGAAACTCATATTGCCCTATGGTTGAAACACATTTTTTTAAAAAGGACAATAGATGCAAAAGACACATACAAGAACCTTTATGTTATGTTTGCCCTTCAAATAACAAGCAACAAACAATACTCAAATCTCTTTTATAAATTAAAAATTTGTTGACATAGGCAGACACAGCTGGATGCCAATATGAAATTTAGCTTATTAGGAAATTCACAGCATGAATTAACATTAGAGAACAAACTATGTCAAGCTTGGATCATAAAAAGACACTTAAAATACTCTCATAAAATGAGGAAAATAAATTTGAAATGCTCTTGTGAATGGCCTTAAGATATATTTTGGCCTATTTAAATTTTAAACAAATACACCAGGAAGCTTCAATAGAGTCAATGTGAATTCTATGTGATATATTTGAATTCTGATGTTTAAAGTGATAGCAGCTTGAAGCTACAATACTAAATATAATAATTCTTACTGAAGTGTGGACTTCAACTCCCAGAAATCCCAAGATAGCATACACACATATTAAAATCGCTGAGGTTGAGAAACATTGCTCTAAAGCAAACTCCCATAAACTAGTATTCTCTAGAAGTGCTAGACTACCTGATAGAATTCTCAGTCAATATGAACAGTAATTATGACAGGAAGAATCTCTGAAAATTATAGTTCCAGTTTATCTGAGATAGTTATTAGGAAAAATAATTAGGAAAAGTCAGAAAACCCTATATGTTTCAAATAGGACTTGTATAGATACAAATTAGCAGGGAAAATGAGATTAGGAGCACCGGTTGATTTTCTTGCAGTACATTACAAACATCTTAAAGCAGCAATATCTTTTCCTGGGCCTGTGCAATTATTGTACAATGATAGGAAATAGTTTTATAATGCCTTTGAAAACTGTTTTTGCCTTTTTAATTCTAACCTTTGCACAGCCCCAGTATCCATTTAAAATAGTATGACTGAAGGGAAAAAAACCGTGGGCTTTATCTATTAGTTTTGTGACCTTACAATAAATACATAGGGTAAATTCCTTGATAAGAAAGCATTAGCAAGCAGATAGTTTTTCTTTTAAAGCAGTACCTTATGTTTACACCCCTCTGTCTACATTAGCTTTTTAACAAATGGAAATTTGGACAAGCACTGAAAACAAAAAGGGGAAAGTATCTCAAATGCCAGTAGAATATTTCATTACATAGAAATATAATAGCTTTTTGTAACATTCCTTTATCAAGAGCACTGTGCTTATTAGCTAAAATATTTTAGTTCAAAGTCTATACAGTAATTTCCTATTGGCACTTAGTGTATATTAGCTCTTCAATTATCATACTTGTAACTCTTACTTGAGTTGCAAAGTCATTGATTTGATCTCTTATCTGCCTTAGCCACATGCTAAAGATTTTAAGGAGTTTAAAAGAAGACTGTAAAAAAAATATTCCTTAGGCACATGCCATAAATCTGAATTTCTCATGTGTCAGAATGAAGTTTTAAGCACAAGCCAGAAATGAAGAATTTGAAGAATATCATGCAGTCTCTTCTGACTCTGGGGAGAATGGAAATACTCGTCAATACCTAATCTGAAGTAGGCATTTACAAAGATAACTGAGTTTATGGTCTTCCAGGTATGCTTACTGCTAACAAAAAGGCTAATATCCTCACAATAGAGTGCATGGATGAATTTATTATTACAGTAAATAAAATGTTTGCATGGTTTTCCTGAAATGTATACTTACGACACTAGGAACTCTGCCAATATTTCACAAAATGATAGAAGCTTCCTTTGCTGGAATAGTTAAAGAGAATGGTTTGTGATTTATCTGAGAAAATGTTGAGAAATCCATCATATAGAGAATGAAAAAATGCAACTTTGCCTCCTGGTACAGTTTACAGTACTAAACAATTTATCTCTGGGATAGATGTTGACATGCTAAAGAGAAAATAAATCTTTGAGGAAATGATCAGATGAGGAAACTTCATGAATACAATCTGACAGTATATCTAGAGGAAACAAGTCCATATTTTATATTTATATATCATGCTTGTAAAAGATAAACTCCTTTAAGACAGTACAATTATTAAAGATACAAGCAATGAGTTTATATATATAAACTCATTGCTTGTATACAACTTTGATAATTTTGAATATTGGAATCCCAGGTATGGACATTTAAAGTCAATAAGATAAAAACAAAGAACTCCGGGATGTAAAGCAAAAGTCTTTTTTTAATTGCGCCCTAACCGTATATTGTGCACATCTGTCTATCGTAAACCCACTCATACGGACAGAACACTGCACTACAGGAGTAATCATCCTGTAGCACACAGAATTAGTTGTGTTAGGACTTTATTCAAATGAATCAACTCCCACTGCAGCACGGGTAGACCCAAAATTGAAGAGACAAAATATCTATATCACACTTTTAGGCTCAATGGTTACCCCGCGGAATTTGTGAGATGTTACAGCAGACCACTCAACTTCACAGGGCCCAAACTTCCAGAGCAACGACGATACCGGCCACACATATAAAGTTACCTTACATCTGTGGTGTTTCCGAAGCCACGGCATGGCTGCTGGCCCCCCACAATGTGAGCATTGCCCATAGACCAGAGCAGACCCTAAGAGCTAAGATCATGGGTCCCCCAAAGAGCCGCTCCCCAACAGTGAACAGTCTTCCATAGTCTATAGAATTAATTGCAGGAACTGCCCCTGCAATTATGTTGGGGAAACAACTAAAAGGCTCAGGACTAGGGTCCATGAACATGAACTGGCAATTAAAAGGCAGGAGCAGCGCTCACAAGTGTGGGCCCACATGGCCAACCTGGACCACACATTCA